AACAACAGCACACGGAATTACCAGCTTCATTTCATACGCCAACGGTACACCTCTAGCTGCATCTTTATTGCCGTTTGTGACCGGTTAAATCGGTAACTAACTTAGGAAGCTTAACGCCGCACACTGCAAAGCTCGCGCACGAAACGTGTGACTTCACAGAAATCATTGATTCCCTACCTGCACACCGTCTCATCTCATCCAGCAGCGGTGAGGGGAAGAACTGTGGCAAATGCATGTGCCTATCTGATCAGCATATGCGCGTCCTGCACAACAGGGAAAAAAAGAGAGCTGTTGTACCTCGGTCATTCCTGTCCCTTCCTACGAAATGTTATCGCGCTTCGGCCACACACCCTTCCCTCATCCCCCTTTCCTCCCTCCTCCACTAACTTCCCACTACCACCAGCCTCAAAGAAAACATACCAAAAAACTCAACCTGACCGAAGAACCCTACAACCGGAGACCACCTGAGCAATTACAAAAACTGGGCTCGGTTCGGTTGATGGTCGATGGTGTTTGGAATGTGTTGTGGCATCTCTACCAACGCTATTTCAGGGCGCCGCTCGCCGGAACGGCTTGGCACTTTGCCAGACCCGCTAGGTAACGCTACCCAGCGTCCGACGATTGGATCGCGTGCCCGGGGGTGGTGGGTAGGAGGACTGGATGTGGTTGAGGGGTGTTATTTTTTGGTAGATGTCCAGATGCAGCTCAGAAAACGCGGTTGAGGGCAGGGCAATGGAGAGAAATGAAATTGCTAGTCAGGAGTTCAGGACGATAAAGGGTAAGAGTGGCGGGAGGTGGGGTGATGGGTGCCCTGATGCGGTTCTGGAGCCAGGGACTGGGGACAGGATACAGGAGGGGGACAAAGATGCTAGTCAGGAATTCGAGACAAGAATTGCAAATAGCAATAAGGAGGAAAATGAACCAATACAGCACTACAAAAAAAAGTAAATCTGAACTTGTGAATAAAAGGAAAAAAAAAACAAAACCAAAGAATTGGAGCCTGTAACCAAAAGCAAAAGCAAACAAAAACTGAGCTTATGTGAGTAGAAACTGTCTTAAAAAAATCTGTCATCAGTAAGCGGTCCCCGCACTTAGGCAAAGCTGAGGGCAAATAAGTTCGATTGGATTTACACAAGAATTGCAGACAATTCCACAGTGTTGCCTTCCGTAGGCTGCAACTGTGGACAGTTGTTATACTTTTGTTTTTTTGTCTTAAAAATCTCACAAAAGCAAGGGCTGACTTCATCCCCAGGCATCCATTCTACCCTGTTTTTGCCCACTTCATGGAACTTATTCGCTCTTAACTTTACCTGAGCATCAGTTTCGTAAATAGGAAAGTTTCCACTAGTAAAACAGTTTCCACTAGTAAAACCTCAGCTTCTTTTTTCTTTTATTTGTAAAGTCAGGTTAGCTTTAATTTACTTTTATTTGTGGCGCTGTGTTGTCCTTTCTCTTTACTGATTTCTCCAATTTTTGCCCCGAGCTTCTGATTTTGGCAGGTAAATTACTACTTCGGGAATCCCCTCCACTCCCCAT